GAAATGTTACCTGCCCAATTCTTGCAGTCAGATTAATCTTTGCTTGTGTATTTTAACTGGCATCACATTCTGAATCAGTTACGTATGCATATTCCGACTAGACTATAATGAGGGGCAGAGCCATAACCTATCCATATTTGCATTCCAGCAGAGTCTAATAGAGTGCCTTGCACTTAGTAGGTAATCAATAAGGGCTGCATCTAATTAATTCAACTCCCAATATTTCTTTTCATCAAGGTCTCTATACAGAAATATAAGCCTGAAATAAAACCTGAAACTACTTACAATCACTTTTCCCAGCACAATCACATTCTTATCTTGAATTTGTCCTTTAGGCTACTCAAGGTTATGTTAAAATCACCCTTCCCAATGGAGCAGGGAGGACATATCTGATTAAAATGATCTCTTTCACTATAACCACATGAAATAGGTATGACTACTCCCACTCTCTAGATGAGGAAGCCAACTGGAAAGTCTGATGACTTAGGTCAAGTTTTAGAGCTGGTAAGAAAAGCCCTCGATTTCAAGCTAAGGGCCATGTGACTTAAAAACTCACACCCATCCCACCACATTCCAAATATCTGTAGAGTCTCTTCATCCTCACAACCACCACTGGTTTCTATGACTTTCCACCAATCAATTCCACTTTGGAGTTTAATGTCAATCAGATTATAACTGTACCATCTCTCTAACCTTACCTGAACAATCTCTTTCACATCAGGCAAGAAAACTCAGGCAACTTATTTTCATCTTTCTCCTTTATATCTAGGTTTTCTTCTCACCCCCTTTCCAAATCATTTTCAATTAGCTTGAAAGTCTACTCCTAGGGATTCTACCCCATATAATACCTTCACTACTGTATTGAAGGTAATCTGAGGCACAGACACTAAGAAAAGGAAGACACTTTAAACAGCATACCACCCTGTGCACACAGTGATCTTCTGCAGCTCAGCATTAACAGGACACACTGAGTTATGTCTTCCAGGAGGAGGCAGAAAAGACAACAACCCATCCATATCCTCTCTATGTCCTCTCCTTGGTGGGTATATCAAAGTTCTTTCATATAGAAAAAGGAAATAATGGGAAAGTAGTTGTTAAGCCGGGCTTATTCAGGTCTGCCAAAAGCACAGGTATATGGACTATCGAATATCCAGTTTGAATAATCTTTATGAAGACTGTCTAGTAAAATGCAAAAATGGCTGATAGAATCCCCAAAGAAAACAAAGATACAAAATTTTATGTACATGCTATTAACACAACCACAAAATATGAATGCATATTGCCAAAGACTGAAAAGTAATACAAAAAAAATTTAAGGCATTGTAAACTGTAGGACGTGAATAAATGTTTAAAATTCTTTAATATTATATTATTTGTCTGGTTATCTATTGCTACATAACAAACTACCCCATCACTCAGTGGCTTAAAACACCATCATTTATTTTGTTCAGGAATCTGCAAACTACACAGAGTTTGGCCCCAGTTGAGTGGCTCAAAGGCTGGGAGCTTGACTCCTCCAAAGGCTTGCTCACTCCTGCGTGGGGCAGTTGGTTGATGCTGGTTGTCAGAACCTCTCTGGGGTTGTGAGCTGGAACACCTACCAATGGCCTGGGCTCCCTCACAACACGGCAGCAGGGTTCCAGGGGCAAGCATCCAGGAGTCAGACAAAAATTACATTGCCATTTCTAACCTAATCTTACATGTCAAACAGCATCACGTATGCCACATTCTAGCTATTAAAAACAAGCCATCAGGCAGGTCCCCATTCAAGAGGAAGTGAATCAGACTCCATCTTTTGATAGCAAATGTCAAAATAACTTGGGGGGGCTTTTAAAAATGCCTACCTCAGACCAATTAAATCAGAATCTCTGGGGGAAATTCTAGTGCTCCCAACTAAATGCTTTCTCAGTGATTCAATGTGTAGTTGGGGGAGAGAGACCCACAGAATTAATATATCTCTGAGCTTTCGTCTAGCTCCAAAATTATATATATCAGCCCAATTTAGGATAAGATGAAGAGGCTAAAAAAAAAGGCAAAATAAAGATCTCTATTAAACAACACTAACAAGTAGAGGTGTATTTTAGATGTATACATGGATACCCAGATGCATATTTTCCAAGATCTAAAACTAGTTTGGCCAAATCCAG